TGTGGCACGACATCACCCTTCATGCTTTTACTCTCAATAATATGGCACGGCATCACCCTTCGTGCTTTTACTCTCAATAATATTGTACGGCATCACCCTTCGTGCTTTACACTCCCCCTCACATGATAATGTATAAACAATAGCACGGCATCACCCTTCGTGCTTTACACTCTTCCTTACCAAGCATATATATAACCGTAACAAACAAGGCACGAAGCATAACGGACATCAAGGAGAGTGTTTTAATGGATATTCCAGACAATTCCCAATCACAACTTTCCAAGTCAATAATGGTTTAACAACCCTCAAGAATCGTATTGTTCAAATATTTCCACGAATCTAATAATTGATTCACAACACAAGTATAGATCCTAGCATCTCAGGAAATTCGGTTGTAGTAATGTAGTAATAATTTCGCATAGAGATGACCGAATTAGACACATCAATGTATTATTACAATTTTCATCAAGTTTGATCAAGTTATAACAAACTAAGTCTTGATATCTATCATTTAATATTATGTCCTTAGTATCTAAGAGTCAAACAAGGCATTAAGCAGAACGTCACAAAATACAACAAACACAAATATAACATAATCCACCCCCCGAGCATGATTAACCCTGGCGCATACATATACGCTCGTCACCTCATATATGTATCACCCCCGCATGTAGCAAAAAATGACAAATAGGAGGAAAAATTCCCTCAACAAAGCTAGGCAAAATACTTACCTCGATCCGTCTAACTCAACACTCAACTTGGCCTTTTCCTCTACAAATTCGCCTCCGCTCGACTCAATCTACCAACTTTGTAAATTCCTAGTTTTAGAAGCTCATGATTCGTACTACCAGTCCTTGGGTTAATATATAAATATTCAGATAATTCTTCACTGTTTTCCTATAAATCACATTAGGATTGTGTTTACTGTTAGATGGCTTACCAAGCGGCTCGAGTTAGGTGTCATTACGACTGGTGGATTTTGGGTCGTGACATACTTAAAGCAAAAAAATAAGATAAAAAATAAAGTGACTTAAATAAAAGAAATTTAAGAGATGATGGATAATCATTAGGACTTGGACTAATTTTTTAAAGTTTGCTAGAAATAGCAATAAATTTGGTTGGGTAGTATAACAGATATGTATATTTGGCCAGATAATATAATAGTAAAAATAAATTTGCCGAAAAATATAACAGAAGATGAATATAGATAATATTCAAAAGTAACAGGGTAAATATGACCCTTTACCCTTCTTATAAACGTCAAATGTCTAGCCGCCTTAGTTAACTGTCTTTCTTAGTCATGCTCCGGAAATTACAAGGGAATTTCCCGGCATAGTGACAAAAACATTCATATTTTGGCTTCACAATAATTGGTACACAAAACTAATTTTTTCACATCATTATGGTTCTTTGAGTCAGCTGAATTATTTTGACTCTGAAGAAAGTTCAACAGTTAAGTAAACAAAGTCTGCTTTGACCAGATGTTGAGAAACAAAAGTAGCAGAAAAATATATATTATTCCTACTATTATATTTGTCTTTACATATCCCTTTCTGGCCAAAACAAAAGCCTATATAAAAGATCATAACTGACCTTTGAAGTGTATCATCGAACCAACTAATCCTCCATTTTTCTCCCAAAATGGAATTCTTCAGCCTTTTGATTTCTTCATTGGCGTCTCAGTAAATCCAATATAATAGGAGTAGTATTTCTTTATGTTTTCTCAAGATAACTGTGTTGTGGGACGTCATATGTCGGAAAATAATGTTTACTAGTAACTACTCTTTCTTATAAGAGGAAAGTGTCAGATTTTACTCTCTACTTTCGAATATATATTTTCTATAGTTATTCTTGTTGATGTTTTATACTTCAATACCACACAAGAGGGGGGTGATTTGTGTGGTGGCCAATTTTTCGCTTAAGCTGCTTATGGAAGCACCTGGTTCTTCTACGTGTTCCTTAACCTACTATTGAAGAAATAGTAAATGCGGAAAGTAAAGAACACAAGTATTTTACGTGGAAAACACTTGGCTCAAAAGGTGAAAAAACCACGACCTACTTTCCAGTAGGATTTTTCCAAACTCTCCACTAAAATCACTGAGCCAAAAACTGCATTTACAAAAACTCTTTTGTAAACCTAGGACTAACTCTAATCCCGTTGTAGCACACAGCCTCAACTGTTGCGACAACTTCAAGTTAACTCTAACTTGAAAACTCTGAGAACCTAATAGAATTACTTCTAGATAAAGCTGAAAGGTACAATTTAAAAATACCTACTACAATTGAACTAGAATAAAAGACAGACACTTGGAACTGGTTCTTCTATCTGGTTCAAGTAGCTTGAGATTTGCACGCTTGAATCGCACATGAACTGCTTGCAAAATTGCCTTGCTATTTTGCTCTCAATTAAAGTTTAACTTCTGCTTATGTGCATTTCCTGTAAAAGAGAACAACACTGATATTTATAGAGTCAGTAAATAGAGATTGACTAGAATTCTGATGCTACTCTTCCTTGGTGGAAGAGTTCTAGTTGATCTCAACCTCTAACTCCTTCCCTTTCTTAAACCGTGTTCTCTTTGAGTAAGGAGTCCTTCTCCTTATTTTAAAATGCAACCTTTTCGATCAGGATCAGGTGATATTACTTCTTTCAAGATAAGATTATCTCCTTCATGTGCATCTCACATGCTTAAGTTTGTCCATATCTGAGCTCCACTAGGATGGACCTGGTCCATGTCTTAGTTCCTTTGTTAGTCTTCAAAACTAACCTTTACTTGGGCCAACAAATTCCCCCTTTTTGATGATTTCCTAAACCTTGTCCAGACCTTTCAGTGACCCAGATTAGGAATTTTTCTTGTTTTGCTCATGTTTCAACTGTTTTTTGTTTCTTTCTGTAGATTGTGGTAGAATCATATTCTCTATCAATGAAGTTTGCTACTTTTGCTCTTGTTGACTGTTTATCTTTCCTTGATAGTTTGAATATGTGTAGTTGATTACTGATGATTAATCTATGAATGCATTTGCAGTTGCCCCAGTGGCCATGAGTAATTTTTAAAATCCGGGAATCACACTTTGTTTATGCAACTTTTCGATGATACCAAAAGGGGAAAAATATATTGTGCTTTATATTCTGAATAGTGATGTTTATAACCTAATGAACCTGGTCCTTGATGATAAGTGAAAAATTTCTAACTTTGCATTGATGATTGAGCTGAGTTCTAATTTCTAAAAAGTCAACAAAAGTCAAACCTCGGGCCCGCCCGGTCAAAACTCGGGTCCAAAGGTAGGTCTTGACTACCCATAGCCCCACGAGTCCAAATATGTATTTTGTTTTCAAATCCGAGTCTTATTCGACTCCAAAATCTCAAATTTTTATTTTTCAAAACTTTGACAAAATCCCCAAAATTTTCCATAGTTTTCCCATGGATTTGATGTTAAATCTTGTATAAAATCATGAAATATAGTTGGAAATTGATTAAAGATACTTACCAATGATTTGGCATGAAAATCCCCTCTCAAAATCGCCTCACCTCAAAGCTAGGGTTCAAAATATGAAAAAATAAAGTAAAAACTCGGAATTCTCAGCACTTAACAGGCTGCATATGTCGCATTTGCGAACAAAACCTCGCATTTTCCGATGAACAGTATTTTCGCAATTACCATAAATGGTTGGCAATTGCAGATGAACAGTGTTATCGCAATTTCCGTAGAAGGTTCGCAATTGCGAATGAACAGTGTCGCACCAGAAACCAGCAAAACCCAAACTTCTCCGAAATGATCTGAAACCACCCCGAAACTCATCCAGAACCTCCCGGACACAAACCATGCATGGATTTCAATCATAAAACACGCTACGGACCTGCTCGCGCACTCAAAACACTGAAAAGAGGTCGTCTTAGCCCGATATTGACCATGGTCAAACTCCCAAGTTTCTTAACTTTACTAGTCTCTCAACCAATGATCCAAAAATTCACCCAAGCCCCTCGGGACTCCAAACCAAAAGTGCACACCAGTCTAAAAGTATCATACGAACTAGCTCGCGCGATCAAATCGCCAAAATAACACCTAGAACTACGAAATCAAATGAAATTTTCAAGAAAGTTTTAAAATCTCTATTTTTACCACCGGACGTCCGAATCACGTCAAACCGACTCCGTTTCCCACCAAATTTCACATATAAGTCAAAAATATTATATTGAACCTGTACCGGACTCCGAAACCAAAATACAGACCCCGTATCAGCAATGCCAAACATTCAATCAATTCTTAAAAATATTAGATTTTTCAGACTTTTAATTTTTAATAAAAATTCGTAACTCAAACTAGGGAACTGGGAATTCGATTCCGGGCATACGCCCAGATCCCATTTTTCAATACGGACTCACTGGGGCCGTCAAAACACGGGTATGGGTCCATTTACTCAAAACGTCGACTGTAATCATCTAAAATTAATTTTTTAGGCAAAAATTCTTGTTTTTATCAATTTTTTTTTTTGCATATAAGCCTCTCGGGTCAATACCCGTACTGTGCACGCAAATAAAGGAAGGCTAGAATAAGGCTCTAAAGGCTTCGAAACATAGAGTTTGGCTCTAAATCACCAAGCGAAGTGCAGATACTCAAAACGACTAGTCGGGTCGTTACAAACCTATACCCATATTTTTAAAATTCTTTAACCTATACCCTAATTTTGACAACTTCAGACGCCTCCTCTTCTTCCTCCTGACCTGTACGCTCCTTTCTTCCTCCTTTTCTTTTCCTCTTCTTCTTTTCTCTCTCAAACACATGGCACTCGCATTACATGGAACATAAGCATATTATATCGAACGCATGGAACTAATGAGCGCAACCACATACGAGATTGATATTGATAGCCTTATGTTGATTGCTTCTTGTATATCCTATAAAACGTGGGCCTGAAATTGCGAAAATATGGTGTCAGTCAGATTACAAGTCAAAAGAAATTAAACATTTCAAAAACAAATATGTATATGGAGACTCACAGTGGACAAAGGAACACAATGAATGACACGATGTTACCTGCAAATTGCAAAAGAAAAAGGAAAGTGACGATGAGTTTAACCTCAACACATTGAACATATACTGAAGTTCAGCTCTAAGAATGCTGAAGTTCAGCAAATATAAACAAAAACTTCAGCTCCTAGAATGCTGAAGTTCAGCAATTACAAAGCAAAAATTTCAGCCAAAACATGATGTAGTTTTATTGAACTGAAGTTTGCCATTTGCACTATGAACTGAAGTTTGCGTGATTGGCCAAACTTTAGGCAAAAATATCTGAAGTTTTGCTTTGATAAGGCTATACTTCAGGCAAAAAATTCTGAAGTTCAAACTTCAGACATAAAGTTTTGCTACTTCAGGCCCGAAGTTACCCGAAAATTGGGTACGCTTGTAATTTTTTGTGCAAAGCGGGTATAAGTTAAAAGGTGACTCAAAAACTGGGTATAGATGCAAATGACCCTGGAAGTATCTACCATGTCTATTCTAGCCCAACCTATATCAAATAAAATCGATCATGTGCAAGTCATGGGTCTAATTCCTTTTAAGTTGACGGAGAAATGTTTGCGCTCATACTAATGAGAATGAAAATTTAAACTAGTGAAGAAAATATAATAAATACTGATTTTCACAAAAACATATGATGCTTCTAAAACCAATTCCGAAATGAATAAAATTTGGGAAAAAAATAAATTCTGGAGTAATGTAAAAACCTCTGTATCTTACGACCGCAAAAGGTGCCATTTGGTATTCCACTGTTCTAAAAACCCTTCCAAAAGAAGGTACTAACACCTCACCGATAAGGCTTAATCCTTTATGGTATTAAGATATCTATTTTGGTTAATTTCATTCATTTACAAACTGTTCTGTGGACTAATACTTATTCTATTTCATTCAATGCGACAATATTTTGCAAGTAACTAAGTTTAGTATGTTAATTGACTTGAATTATGTAAAAGCGTAGCAATGAAAATAAATTTAAAGTACATCACATCAAAGTTTAATTCGATTAAAATCTTAAACACATAAAAAGTCTGAAGAGCATTAGAGGAATGGTGTTAAATAAGCATGTTATAAGCATGATATAGGAAGTGTCAAATAAAATTAGATATACACTGAAAGTCCATCGCTGTTTATCTAAATGCAAGATAAAGATGTGTTGTGGTATTTTTAAAAATAAATCATGTCTTAAACCAAGTGTCATGCCTTAAACCAAGTGTCAATATGCATGAAAAGAAACCTTGAAGTGACAATTTGCAAAGGGAATTAAGGACAAGTGTATGAACACTTGCCTATATTTAAAACTATTTATAAGCCTATAAATAGGCACTCATTTACTATTGATGAAGCAGAAGAAATGCTTCCTATTTCTACTTCCTCTCTCCCTTACGTCGATGTGCTTTCCTCCTTTTATTTTTCTTTTCCAATTTAGTTGGTATTTCTTTTGCTGGATTTGTATATTATTTAATTTTGCTGATTCATGTATCCTCTAAATAAATAGTGATGAGCTTGTTTAATTCCGGAAAAATATTTCACATTGCTGAAATAGTTTCTTAGGACAGTGTTCAACACGTCAAGCCAATTCGTGTATCTGCTTACAAATAATATTATTGCATTATTATTATTATTATTATTATTATTATTATTATTATTATTATTATTATTATTATTATTATTATTATTATTATCACTTTCCGGTGTCATTTCCCTACAATCTAAGAAACTATTGCAAGCAATACTACTACGAATTTTTTTATGGTGCCACCATTTTTGGTGTTGTCTCTACTGCTACTGTTCCACCTGTCCTGCCAGATATCCATGGTGTTGCAAATGCGTTATTGCATCCATAACTTTGGTAGGCAATGATGATAGGCTATAATTACGTATTTTAGTCGCTTATTACACTCTAATTTACTGCACTTTAATTGAGTTTGCGCTTTAATCGCTAGTGTTTTGCACTAATTGTGTGTTTTATGCCTGGTAGGTGTGATTCCGAGCTATATAGATGTTATGGAATGAATTTAAGTGATTTGAAGCTTTGAAGTCTGAGTAAAAGCTCAAGGAATTAAGTCGGGATCGTGTTCCGGGGTCAAATTTGATAGTTCAGAACAAACGAAGACTCGAGTAGGCATATTGCGCATTGTCTAGTAAAATGCACATAACTTTTTGTTCAGAACTCCATTTGGGCTCCACAATACATGTTTGGAAAGCTAAGTCAAAGGGATACAACTTTCATGTTTTACGTTTTTCCAAATTCCAAACGGAACAGGGTGAAAAACGCGGTCGAAACCGCGTCCGCGAAACTGACCGCGGCAGAAAATCAGAGAGCTTGTCTGGTCGCGGTCCTACCGCGTTTTGGCCGCGGCCGCGCCGCTCCAGGCGTCAAAAATTGGGGAAATCAACTAATGAAATCAACAATTGGGTAAATCATAACTCTAGACCTCCTTAATTTAGTCTCCAAACCTTTGTCTCGTTAGTTGATAATTTTACCATTTTATAATATTTGTTGGTTTATTAGTTAGATATAAAAATCTTAATATTATAATTTAGAAATTGTTCAAACTTGTCTTCTTTGCGATATTGAACAATTACTGCGAAACCTTAGTTCTCTGTGGGATTCGACTTCGGACTTTTAGAGCGGATTATATTTGTAGCGACCGCTTATCCTTTTTAGGACTAGAGTTGGGCGTGATCAAATTTTGGCGCCGTTGCCGGGGAACTAATGGTGTAGTTGTAGCTGTATATATTGCTAGGGTTCAAGTTTGAACTTTTAGTTTGTTTTATTATTTTTGTATTTTTTTTATAACTGTTTTTTTTTTATAACTGTTGATTTGAGAAACATGGCATCTTGGAATTATGGGAATTTAGGTGTAGATAATTCTACTATTGATCTCCATACATATTGTGAATGAAACCACCCGTGGCAAAATTTTCAAAACGTTCCTAAGAGCGAGTTATGTGTACCAACTCAATCTTATTTGTGGAATGTGTGTGATGTGTATGGTGGTAAAAATGGTCACCTTCATGGTTGTGCTTATATTTTTTATTCCCCCCTCCCCTACTATGATGGTTCTACCTTTTCTTGTGAAGTTAATAGGAACAAAGAACCTGGTAATGCGGACCTGAAGGAGATCAAGGATATGCTAAAGTGCCTTCTGGAACAAAACAATGAGAAACAATTGCACACAGAAAGGCAAGAGGCAACTATTCGCAAGTTGGAGGCTCAATTGAGTCAAGTGGTTGGAGCTTTTAATGCTCAACAAGCCAAAATTGAGGATAGTAGCCAAGAAGACCATGAACTTGAGGTATTAATTGGGGAGGTCAGAGTAGAACATCAACAACCTAGCCAACTAGAATTTGAGGATGTCAATGTTGAAGAAGTAATACTAGAGTCAACCAAGGACGTTGAAGATACAAATTTAGTTGACTCTAGTGTGGTTGGTGTTGAGGAGGTTAAAAATCTTGAAGTTCATGTATTTGAGCGCGTTGGGCCTCATTCCAAACACTTCTCTACATTATGTTCAGACGGTGAAATGGAAATTCACCCTTATGAGCATAAAAAGGAGTCCAAGGAAGAGGTAGATGAGCCTTATATTTTGGATTTCTCAAAGCTGTCTAGGCAAGGTGACACTCCTCGGTCGAGAGCCAACAAGTACATAAGATTTTATCTAATTTTTGGCTCGCAAGAATTTGTACCGCCCCAAGAGCATAATCATAAGCTTGAAGCAAAACTTGGGGTTCAATTCATAAGCTTGAGGTAGAGGCAAAAAGGGATTCGCGTCGTGCCGCGACGTTAAATCAAGCGCTTGTTGGGAAGCAACCCAGCTTTATTGCTTTCTTTTATTTATTTTTTATTTTTTTTAATTGTATTATTTTTGTAGTGTCAATTTTTTATTTTTTTAGGAGAATGGAAAGCAAAGGTATTGGAAGGATGCAACAGCAAACCAAATGGCTGGAACTAAGTGTGAGGTACCCGCACGAAGGACCAAGCTTGGGAGAAGTCTGAGTACCCCATGAGTTGTTAGTGCTTCGGCCTTTGGCCTACCAGGGAGTCTCTTTTACCCTTTTATTAGTTATTGTGTGCATTGGGGACAATGCACAATTTTAAGTGTGGGGTGATGAGATTGTCTGGGTGACTTTTCATGCTACTTTAGCTGTATTAGTTTAATTAAATAGTTTTTTTTTAAAAGATTGTACTTTTCCCGATGATGGATCTATTAGATAATTTTCTTGAGGGATTTAAGTCTAAAGAAAAAAAAAGATTTTTTTTGTAGGTAGTGTAATAATTCCCCCTTGGTTTTTCTTTGTACCACGGTTCTTTTCCAAGGGTTTTATTTGAACCGGGTGTAGTTAGTTTTTTTTAGGAGTAGGAGCCATTGTGTTGTGTTTTGAATTGAAGCAATATCTCTTGACTTGGTTATGCCTTGAGAATAGTGAGTACTTTGGCCGTGACGCTTAGGCTCAGTTTTTTACTCTTGTATAAGTACCTTAAATTGTATGATCTTAACTTTGCTTAACTGCTTTGACTAGAGTGTCTTGATGAAACCAATCCTGAGTGAGCTATGTGTCATGTGTGTGTAAGGATTTGTTATATTCTGTGCATTGCATTTGATGCCTAGAACTTGCCCCGCGTGTTTGCAAAGCGAAATAGTAGTTTTATTCAGTCTAGGAAGTGATATAGGCATTTCTTTGTTAAGCCAGATATGTATATTTTACCCGCCTAATTGTTATGTATCGTAGTTAACCCCTTTGAGCATGTAATCCTGTTTCTTTGGCAACCACATTACAAGCCTTACTCATTTGTTTGAATGGACTATCTATTTGAACCTTTTAACCTCTCATAAGCACTTGAATTGTGATGATTTATGTAAAAGTTAAAGTGGGGGGGTGGTTGGTTTGGCTTTTGAGTGGAACTAATGAAATCAGGAGAAAGGTGCACTGTTTTGAACAAGTAAGAGCCACTTGAAAAAAATATATAGTTGTATTGCTGTGGGAAAAAAAAAGTATTTCTTTAATAAGTGGTG